CAGGTGCGAAATTCGGCGTTGGCTCTCAAGAAACTGATCCTAGCTGATCCAGATTACTTTGCGATGACAAAAATAGATGTACCCGTCGTAGCAGACATTTTTGGCCAAATTTTGGAGGGACTAAGAAAGGATCCTATTGGCGCAACTATAGCTCAAAAACAATTTTTGGATGGATCATAACAGGCAATGTCGATCAACGAAGTGTCAACACGACATCAATAGAGACGTCTCACATCAAAACCGATTTAGATGATAGCATCAGAAGGTTCTGGAAATTAGAAAAAATACCGGAACAAACAATATTTACAGAGGCGGAATTATCGTGTGAAAAGCATTTTTCTGAAACATTTCGTAGACTTGAGGATGTACGCTATCAAGTTGAGCTACCTTTCATATCGAATGAGCGTCCAATATCACTCGGAAGCTCTACACACATTGCGATTGCCAGGCTTTTCGAAATGGAGAAACAATTTTCAAAACATGAGGTACTAAAAGACAACTACAGCAAGTGTATAGCTGAATATTTAGACATGGGCCATATGGAGCAAGTGAAGTTAATGGAATTAAAAAATCAAAAGAAATCAAATGATCAAACGATTTATTTGCCACATTACGTCGTCATAAAGGAAAGTAGCTCAACAACAAAACTACGAGTGGATGCATCACGGTCTACTTCGAATGGTTCATCATTAAATGACAAAACATTAAAAGGTCCGGTTATACAAGATGTTTTGTTCACTCTTCTATTGCGGTTTCGAAAATATAAAATTGCATTTGGAGAACTTCTCCAATTTAAAATTGCAATTGGAGAACTTCTTCGAGTGAACCAATTCAAGACTATAAATTAACTACAGTAACATACAGTTTTAATACAGTAACACGTGTTTTAATACAGGTAAACTATCCTCTTGCATCAAGAATAACATTGGATTCATTTTAGTTGGATGACCTGCTGTCAGGTGCGGATCCTATCGAAAAGACATTGGAGATGCAAATTGGATTAATTTTATGCGGATGACCTGCTGTTAAACGCGGATTCCATCGAAAAGGCATTGGAGATGCAAAAACAATTTCTGGATGGATGATGGCACCGGGCGGATCCTCATTCAGTGATCATCATATGCAGCTGAACTATTGGAAGCCCTTCTACAAGAACATCGAGAAATCAATTGGCCTTCAAAAATTGAAGAAACTGAAACCGTCAAAACATTAGGCGTACAATGGGATCCAGCAAACGATAAATGTTCATATTAAATTTCCCTATTGGAAAGTGATTCAAATAAATGGACCAAGCGAACAATATTGTCGGAGTTTTCAAAACTACTTCATCATCTCTGCTGGTTGGTACCTTGTATCATTATAGCTAAAATAATGATACGAAAATTATGGCTCTTGGGTTCAGGATGGGATGATGATCTACAGGAACACTCTTGTTCAACTAGAAGCCCTACGTATAGACGGGTGGTTCTACTATTCAACATCGGAAAACAAAATAAAAGTGCATGGATTTTGTGATGCGTCGATAAAAACGTCAATCAACGCAAAATTAAAGGTGGCTCCGATAAAGACAATATCTTTGGTGGCACTAGAGCTGAGCGGGGTAGCATTATTGGCGAAAATATGTGAAGCGAGTATTACAAATTCAAAATATATGGAGTGTACAAGCTTGGACAGATTAAGAGACCTGGTTGACTTGGCTACAGGCTCACTCAAGCAAATGGACAACGTTTGTGGCGAATCGGACTGGTGAAATACATCACATACTAGGCAAAAAACATATGGCGTCACGTACCTTCAAAGGAAAACTCAGCCGATTGTGCTTCACGGGGAATACAGCCACCGGATTTTATAAATTTCAAAATATGGTGGAGCGGCCCAGAATTGTTTAAGAAACCAGAGTCACACTGGCCGACTAAAATATTACTTCAACCTACAGACAGTGAGATACGGAAATCAACTCTATGTTACAACACGATCATTTACGTGGATATATGCGATATTCATCATTTACGAAGCTCATCAATGTAACGAGTTACATCAAAACATTCATCGTCAAAGTAACCAAAAGGAGTATAAATTGTAATACATTCATATGTGTCAGAATTTAACGCTAGCGTGGATCTAGAAGTGGATACAAATAGCGCAACACAAACAGTTTTTACAAGAAATATCACAATTACGAAAAAGGAAACTTATTCATACAAACAATCGTTTAACGAGGCTTAATCCTTTTTTGGATCAAAATGGAATATTGAGAATGGGTAGCAGATTGCGGCATACAGATTTGAATTTCGATGAAAAATTTTCGATTATATTTCCCATATAACGATTACTAGTATATTGTCGAGTTGTGTTCAACTTATGCTCAACGTACTAAATATAAAGTTTTGGATCAATAGTGCACGGTTGGCTGTAGTTCAAAAATATCCTATGGGAGATTTGCCTGCTTTTCGACCTAGACCCCCTCGGCCATTTAAACATACTAGCGTTGATTATTACGGACCATTTGAATTGAGAACCCGTAAAGGCTATAAAGTGTACATATCTATTTTTAAATGTCTTACAGTTAAAGCTAAACATATCGAGCTGGTTACGGACTTCAGCAGCGAGGGATTCATCGTAGCATACAGAAGATTCAGTAACAGACGCGGCAGGTGCGAAGTACTCTATTGCTATAATGGTACTAATTTTTCCGGCGCTAGCAAAGTGCTCTCAGCGCAAAATAAACAGATGTTATAACAATTAAAAACGGATTTAGCACAAGTATACGACCATGAAGGAGTAGTTTTCAAGTTCATACCATCTGGTTCGCTTCACTTTGGTGGATCATGGAAAGCTGGTGTTCGCTCTCCAAAGCAACATCTTAAAAAGATACTCGGAAATGAAAAGTTGACATAGAAGAGTTTTCAACGGTCCTAACTCAAGTTGAGGCTTGCCTAAACTCTAGACCTCTTTGTGAAATTAGCAGAAATCAAGATGAATCTACGGGCCTAACACCTGGGCATTTCCTGACTAGTGATGTAATTATAACAACCACCTGAACCTTCTTTGCTAGATTTAAATGAAAACAGATTGAACAGATGGAATCTGCTGCAAAAATTACATCAAACCTTTTGGACACGTTGAAGTAAAGAATACCTATGGCGATTACAGCAGCATCCAAAATGGACTAAAAGGACCGACAACATGAAAATTGGCGATTTGGTTATACTTAGGGATGAGAAGTTACCATCAAGCAGATGATTAATCGGTCGAATAATAGAAATCAATCCTGGTCGCGATGCACTTGTTCAAGTTGTGACATTAAAAACAAAAGATAACGTATTGAAACGTTCGATTGCAAAGATATGCTTCCTACCAGTAAATACGATAGAAAATTATAATGAAACTAAAACGCAATCAATCGAGAACGATTAATCACATTAAAAAAAAAAACGCGTAATGTATCTAATCGTACGTAGCTAGCACTACACTTAGTTCACAAAAAAAAATCGCGTAACCTAATCGAGTTACACCTAACGTCGCAATACCTAGTAATACCTAACTTGCGCTACTTAACATAATAAAAAAATAAGTAGAGGCACCTAATACAAACATTTCTAATCTATACTTAAAATTAACTTAAAATATAAAATTAGTAACACTTAAATTAATTGCAAGTTAACTTATTAGTAATAGATTTTTTTCTTTGGTAAGTCCACAGAAATCTTTATTCCCAAGACTCCGTAATACACAATTTACTAATACATACATATATAATATGACGTATTCAAAGTTTTTCATTACACTTCTTGTTAAGAAATATATTCTTATATTAGGTATTTTCGAATAAATTTGAAATATTCCTGGTAATTTGGGATGTTTGAAAAATAAAAAACGATTAAATGCAAAAAATATGCAGAAATTATTTTATTTCGTTTAAATATTAACAAAATTAAATTTCTTGTTCTTTCAAACTAGTTACTTAGTACAGGTAACAAATTGCATTATAATAAATTACAAGTAATAAAATATTTTTCAGTTAAAACTAAAATAGTAAATACACAACAAACTATTTTTTGAAAAAATTACAGAACATATTTACATAAAAAAATAAAATTTTTAACCCATTTTTCTTAAAACTAGTAAATTTTATGACAAAAATGTGTTCAACTAAATTCAGAAAATTTTTTAATTTTCTTTTATAAGAGGTTAAATTACATAGTTATTTAAATTGTTCAAATCTTAACATTACTAAGCAATTGATTAAATAATATTTGCCACAGGCAACAAAATAGAATTTAAAGTTCTTACAAATTAAAAATATTTCGGTGGTGTCGAATTTGTTTTTCCTAGTGCTTGTATACAATCATCCCTAATGACCTCGTTCTTTGGCAAAGTAAATGTAAACATATAGCTTTTACGTTCTCCTTTTCTCGTAGACTATTGCTTCTGCATCCTTCGATGCAACACCCTCGGGGCATTTATATGACACAACACCTATTTATATGAACATAATCAAATATATTATTATATTTTATTTAAATATGATTCTAATAGAAACTTTAACAAATACACCGAATCTTACTAATTTATTAAGTCATTTTTTCTTTTTAAATAAACTTTACTACTATTTTTTCAAATTCACCTTTGTTTTATTCTAAATATTATGAACAAAAGACAAAATTTAGTTAATATATATTATAAATCTTCATATTATTTAATAAAACAAAAAATTAATATAATTATTTACTAAATTTAAATTGAAATTAAATTTTAAACAGCAAATAAATTATTTTACCGCTTAGCGACACAGCTTCCCGTACGAAATTTATATATGGACTAAAGAAATGAATAGTCTTTTTTCTGAACAAAAAACCTTGGATACACACATACGCAAAAATATTAAGACGTCTTGTACATTGTAGGAGTTTATGCTAAGTCCCACTTCCTGAATTTCCGGAAAGGGAAATAAAGCGTTATAACTTCTTCGTTCTAACCCTTTGCTCTTTTCGTTACAGGTGAAGACCTAAAAGGACATGACTTTTGTGATGGGTGCAATTTGCATTTGGAACGTTTAATCGAAATTTTAAAATTTACCAATTAACATCAAAATTTGGCTTATTCGGTATCAATATCATTGCTCTCCAGCAACACACCTTTTATTCTCCAGTAACATATCTACACATCACTGTTTTTGTCATCTTTCAACATAGATGCCAAGGCCGGGAGAATGTTCCGTCATGAAGTCACACTGCTTTTTTTTTAAAAAGAAAACAACAAAAAAACCATAAAGAAACACCACGTAGTATAGGAGAACATTTTTTGTTACTTATCTAATTTCGTTATAGTCCAGTGTAATCCACTCAACGGCTTTTGCTTCTTCATCTAAAAATTGAATCTATTGGATTTGATATGCAATTTTATTTACAATAAAATAATTACATGAATTTGTAATATTTTCCAGTCATGCATCCATCAGTCCAGATAGGGTCTTCCAATGCCGATTTAGCACTTTTTGGTTGAACTTCATCTTTCATCGTTTTCTCCTTAGATTTCTGCCTTTTATTTTTTGGACTCCAGGTCCATTAAATTTCTAATTTTTCTAAAAATTATATTTTTATTTTATTAAACACTGATACTCACTTCAACAATATAAATGAAGCTAGAGGATAACAGTTCGCAGTGATTATTTCTGCACAAACATATATCAATGCTGCCAACTGTCACCTATGGTAGACAAGTTTATGTAGAGTTATAGTCAGCTATTGATAGAAATGTAATGGAGTAAGAACAAAAATAGAAGGTGAATGAAATGGAGAATTGAAGGGGAAAATAGCATAAAACAGAAACGAAGAAACGTAGAATTTTACAACAATTTGTATTGCGGTGTACATAAGAATGATACATTTCATTAGAGGTTCGGTGAACTACATCTGTTGTGTAACAACAATTATTCTGAATTATATATTTCTTATTATTATTTTCCCATTTATTTAAGTTATCAAAATTGCTAAAATTCTAATTTGTCAAAACTTAATATTAACGCACACGTACTGGCAAACATTATAGTTAGTTAATCTAAATATTTTCCCATACATAACTTTCTCCCAATATTTTAGTATTAGTCAAATTACATATATTTTGTTTGTTAATTTTACTTTAAGTAAATTAACGTACGTTAAGTTAACATGGAAAAATTATAAATTATATAAATGCATAAAATTGCTTACTAGTCTATTTCTGTGGGAAATAATTAATTTTAGGTAGTATAATTTTTGTATAAATAAGTCAGATTTTTTATAAATAAATTAATAAACTTCAAACCAAGCAGTTTTTCAAGAAGAAGTTTTTCAATTAAACTATCCAACAATATCATATGATCAACATAAAAGAAAAGAAGAAATACGTTAACAAACGAAAAGTGGGACTGGCCAGGAACAACTTCACCGTTGCACAACTGGTTATTCTGGAAATTACTACATATTTCGAAATATTAAACATAAAATAATTTTCTTGAGTTATATAATTTGAACATTTTATATATAACATTTATATAAATTTGAATTGTCAAGTTCTTGAAGAAAAAGAAGAAAAGAAAGCAAATATAACGTAGATATATAAAGATATGTGTAATTTGTAATTTTTCCAAAAAAGAAGTATATAATTTTTTTCTAAATTTACTTATTTTTCTAATATTTAAATACTAAAAAAACTTATTTTTCATTTAAAATTTTAAAAGTGTTTTTAAAACTTATTTTTAATTATTCGCAAACATTTTTTGGTTCTTCGAGCTGGATTGAAGGTTACGCGGAAAACTGTTAAAAAAAAGAAAAAGCAAAATAAAATTAGAAACCCTAAAGTGTTTTTTTTATGGCAAAACTGAAACTTAATATCCACAGAACGGTGTTGTGTAATAAATTGGTATTAAAATAGATCGTAGACAGAGGTGGTAATGCGATATTGAAAAAAAAGATAGTGTTAAAAGTTTGAAAAGAGGTGGTGCTTAATTTTAATGCGAAAAGAAAAAAATTATAGTGAGATTTTTGAAACATAATGTACTGAAAACATTCAAAAAGAAAGGGAACTATTATATTTAAATTTTGTAAAAGTAAAAGAACAGTGTAAAATTTTTTACACTGTTCCAATTTCCAATCCAATTTTTTTAAATATTTTTTCTTTTTGTTGAAATTTTTGGTTTACGATGTTTTATTATCTGTTTGTTCAACCATTCTTAAACGAGTTGGATTGCTTGTAAAATATATGGTTAATTTATGGACATTTTTCTTTGGATGAGTAAAATAATATTATTTATTTTTTGAAACGATAAATTATTTAAACAAAAAAAGGGAAATTTACTATTTACTTTGAGTGTTTGCAGGATATAAGCACTCAAAGTATAATAACTTATAGGATATAAGTTTTTATGAAACTTACGTATTATTAGTTTTTAACTTTGACAGTGTCTTGTGCGATTTTGAGTTAAGCGCGGCATTAATTATAATTGAAATTTTTAAAAAGAAGAATATCGAACATGACTTTGGCATAAATTACTGAATATATTACGTACATGTATTGTCTGTGGATACGATTTTTAACAATTTTTTAAGACCATTTATAAAATAAATTGAAAGTATTTTGCATAAAATAAGTGAATTACGATATAATTTAAATTCGTTTAATACTATGCAATACTGATTTTATTTTTCGATAAAATTATGAAAAACAAAAGGAAACACGAACTTTCTATTAAATAAAAATTTACTGAATTCTTAAATAAAATTTTACGGTTGATTAATAATAAGCGTTTTTTTATTGCCCATATTCATTTATTTTTGGCTTCCTTCTTTTTACATTGACATAAAAGGATTTTTTCGTGACACACTTGCTGTTTTTATAGAAAGTACATATGATGGACAAATTAAGCTTCAATAAGTGGATAAAAGTTTGATCGAGGAAATAATGTCACATTTTGGGTGACACGCGTGAAAGCAAGCCGAAGGGGTTTTAGAAGGAAGCACTAGGCGACATAGAAGGCCTATATGCGGGGCTGAAAAAGAGGCATATTTAAATATTGGTTACGTCATACACTGATAAAAATGCGGACAATATAAAGTACCCATACTTAAAAGTAGCGTCTTCAACGAAATTAAAACATAAACACCACATAATAGAAGCTGAAATGAAAACCAAATTTCCAGAAAGACTACCGGAGCTAAAGGTAGATCCAAATCAAAGTATAAACAAAAGAATGGATGCTCCCAATATTTCAATAAATTTATTACTTTAATAATTACCAACTTGACGACAATTAGAAAAATTTCTTGAAACTAAATTCCGCATATTGGACGCTATATCAACTAGGCGATCTTCAACACATTATAGACCTACACAAAACGATGCTTGTAAGTACAGAAATAGTCACGATTTCCGTGCTGCTATAACTGCAACAGCGAATAGTAACACACTTTACCCTATTTGTCTTGACTATATATTATTCCTATTTAAATGTCATCATACCATATTGCACAGGGACGATGAAGAGACTGGGGATCAAGGCCTATAACGGCGACAGCAGCAGAAAGCAGTCGCGTCACAGGTACGTGCGCATGGTCCATCACCTCCAACCATGGCAGATGAAATTTCGACATCGAAACCAGCATTAGAACCCGGCAGCAACAGCCAGGTTTACACTTGGCACATCGGACGCACACATACGACAGGTTGTACTGGCATCTGTGTGCATTAAAATAGTATGTCCAACGGGACTCTATCAGAAGGCGAGAGCTTTAATCGATCCTGGTTCACAGAGTTCTTTCATCACCGAATTAGCTGTTCAGAATTTAGATTTACGAAAAAACAGGACCATTACAAATATATATGGTATATCAAAAAGCAATATCGGCCAATCATTGGCAAAAGTGGATGTCATCATACAAGATCTAGGGGATTCCAAGCAGGTGCGAACTTCAGCTTTGGTTTTCAAGAAACTGACCAACTTGTTACCAGAACGTAATATTGCAACTAAAGAGTCGTCACACATAAATGGATTGATCCTGGCTAATCCAGGTTACATTGCGATGGCAAAAATAGATATACTAATTTTTGGAAGATTAAAGAAGGGCTCTCTTGGCGCAACAATTGCTCAGAAACCATTTTTGCATGGATCATAACAGGCAACATCGATCAACGCAGTGTCAACACGACATCAATAGAGACGTTTCACAACCAATCCGATTTAGATGAAAACACAGAAGGTTCTGGGAGTTAGGAGAAATACCTAATAGGAACAAATAATATTTACAGTGGAGGAACTATTATGTGAAAAGCATTTTTCGAAACCATTCTGTAGACTTAAGAATGGACGCTATCAGGTTGAGTTACCTTTCATATCGAAAGAGCGTCCAATATTACTCGGAAGTTCAAGACACAAAGCGATTGCCAGGCTTTTCGACATGGAGAAACAATTTTCAAAAAATGAGGTACTAAAAGAATACTACAAGTGTATAGCTGAATATTTAGACATGAATCAAATCACATGGAGCAAGATGCACAAAATATTACTTTAAGATACAAACAGCGAGATACGGAAAACTCAATGTCACAACATGAACATTAATGATAACGAATGCAGCGAGATTCACGGATTGGAAATGCGATATTTATCATTTATGAAGCTCATCAATGTAACGAGTTACATGAAAAGATTCATCGCCAAAGTAATCAAAAAGAATATAAATTTTAATACATTCATATCAGTGTGAGAATTCAGCGCTATCGTGGAAAATGAAATATTGAGAATGGGTAGCAGATTGCGGCATGCAGATTTGAATTTCGATGAAAAATTTCCAATTATATTGCCCGATAGAAGCACTTTCATGCGGCTACTTTTAGAGAAAATTCATCGCGAAACTTTACGTGGTGATGCTCGACTTAAGCTCAACGTAATAAATAGGAAGTTTTGGATCATTGGCGCACGTGGTCAAATTCGAGAGCAGATACATAAATACATCACGCGCCATCGACAACGGACTGCAGCTCGAAAACAAATTATAGGAGCCATGCCTGCTTTTCGACTAGAGTCACTCGGCCATTTACTCATACTGGCGTTGATTATTGCGGGCCATTTTAATTGAGAACCCATAAGGGCACAAATCCGAAGGCATATAAGGCGTACATATTTATTTTTATATGTCTTGCAGTTAGAGCTACACATATCGCGCTTGTCACGGACTTTAGCAGCGAGGGACTCATCGTAGCATACAGAAGATTCAGCAACAGACGCGGCAGGTGCGAGGTACTCTATTGGTATGGAGTCCTAATTTTGGTCGTAATTTTGCCGGCGCTAACAAAGTGTTCGCAGCGCAACATAAACAGATGTTACAACTATTAAAATCAGATTTAACACAAGTACACGACCATGAAGGAGTAGTTTTCAAGTTCATACCTCCTGGTTCGCTTCACTTTGGCTGGTTATGGGAAACTGGTGTCCGCTCTCTAAAGCAACATCTTAAAAAGATACTCGGAAATCTCTAAACTCTTACACCTGGGCATTTCCTGAATAGTGATTTAATTATAAAACCACCTGAACCTTTTTTGCTAAATTTAAATGAAAACAGATTGAACAGATGGAATCTATTGCATTTTTGCATAATTTTTTATGCATTGAACATATGGAATCTATAAAAACTTGTTCAAAAACTTTGGACATGTTGAAGTAAAGAATACCTATGCCGATTGCAGCAGCGTTCAAAATGGACTAAAAGGACCGGCAACATGAAAATTGGCGATTTGGTTTTACTTAGGGACGAGAAGTTGCAACCAAGCAGATAATTAATGGGTCAAATAATAGACATCCATCCTGGTCCGTAACATATCTACACATCACTGTTATTTTTGTCATCTTTCAACATAGATGCCAAGGCCGGGAGAATGTTCCGTCATGACATCACAATGCTTTTTTTTCTTAAAAAGAAAACAAGAAAAATACCATAAAGAAACACAACTTAATATAAGAAAACATTTTTTGCTACTTATATAATTTCGTTGTAATCCAGCGTAATCCATACAACGGCTTTTGTTTCTTCAACTAAAAATTGAATCTATTGGATTTGATATGTAATTTTATTTACAATACTTACATGAACTTGCAATATCTTCCAGTCATGCATCCACCAATCCAGATAGGCTCTTCTAGTGCCGGTCCAGCACTTTTTGGTTGAACTTCATCCTCCACCGTTTTTTCCTTAAATTTCTGCATTTTTTTTTGGACTTCAGGTCCATCAAATTTCTAATTTTTGTAAAAAATATTTTTTATTTTATTAAATGCTGATACTCACTTTTACAACATAAAACTAATGGGGAACTAATGGGGAACAGTAAACTAATGCAGCGATTATTTCTGCACAAACATTATATATCAATGTTGCCAGCCGTCAATTATAGTCATAGACAAGTTAATGTAGAGTAATAGTCAGCTATTGATCAAAATGTAATGGAGGTAGAGCATTTAAATAAGTAAATACAGGCTGGTCCGATCCAAGGTTTAGAGATCTCGCGAGTGAAAATGGTAAGTCTGACACTTATCATCGCTATACTGCTATGTAGCTCTATCAATTGAAAATCACCCATAAGATTTTTTTATGACACGTACAGTACCTTGAAATCAATATGACAGGTGCTAAATCAAAATGATATGGCGGACAGAGCCGTAAAGTTTTTATATGTATATTGTGATGTAAAATTCAAGATTATTTTAAATCAACTAAGGCTATTGCTGGGCCAGTCTATAGATTTTAAATTTTATATTATGCGAATTATACACATCAATTAATTATACCTATATTAAATTAATTGTTTATGTGAAGTGATATACATACATATGCATATATTCATGTCTTAATTTTGTTTAAATATGTATCTTGGAACATATTTGAATTTATTGCAATTCGCACTGAAGCCTTCTGGTCTTATATATAATACACATATTATAGACAGATTTATGTTTACATTTTATAAATTTTAATTGTATCGTATAAAGTGTATACAGATTTTGTATTTTCTCACAAATTGAATAAGTCTGCTACGCAGCAAAAGCCATTACATATTATTCATTCTTAACTTAATACATATTATTGTTATTATAATATTTGGAATT